GGCTGTGCTGCACCGGAACCGCCCTCTCCAGTCGAGCGAGCGAGCGTGAAGCTTTGCAAAGTGGGCGGAAGGACCTGCGCTTTGCCTTCTGGATAACGTAGTCTGAAGGAGAGAGAGAGACGGAGACAGAGACAGAGAGAGAGAGAGAGAGGAGAGGGAGAGAGACAGAGAAGAGAGAGAGACAGAGAGAGGGAGGAGGAGGAGACAGAGAGAGGGGGGAGGAGGAGAGAGAGAGGGATTCCCAGTATCGTTTGGGATACGAGTTCAGGACATAAGTTGTCTCATTTATTATTATTATTTTTTAGTCGTGCAGCTCGTCCTCTTGGCTGTAACCACGTTGTCAGAGAGAGGGAGAGAGAGAGAGACAGGGAGAGAGAGGGAGAGAGAGAGAGGAGGAGGGAGAGGGAGGGAGAGAGAGAGGGAGTGACAGAGAGAGGAAGAGACAGAGGGAGAGAGAGGGGGAGAGAGAGGGGGAGAGAGAGGGGGAGAGAGACAGAGAGAGGGAGAGAGACAGAGAAAGAAGAGGGGGAGAGACAGAGAGAGAGGAGAGGGAGAGAGACAGAGAGAGAGAGGAGAGGGAGAGAGAGGGAGAGAGACAGAGAGACAGAGGGAGACAGAGAGAGAGTCCCCGAAAACAAGCGTTGGGACCCGCGGTCGGTCGGTCGGTCGGTCGGGCCGGGACTGTTCGTGAAACCCTTGGAGGATTCAGGGAGGAAACGTGTTTCTCTTCCCAATCTGTGGCCCTCGAGGGACTGGCTCCTTTTCCCAGCAGTGGCTGATTGGCTGAGGACCAGGGAGGAGACATTGTAACTCCTAATAGTTTCCCCCCGGGAACTCTCGTCCTTAACCTTTCACCTCCACTGCCAGCCACAGCACTCCCATTGGACTACGTTTCCCAAGAAGCCCTGCACCTAGCTTCACAAAGAGTCAGATTCCACTGTGGACTCTTCCCAGCATGCCTCTGGCTGCTGGTCCCTCCCATCCCCTTTCTCAAAGATGAGGCTGTCTTGAACTTCATTTCCCAGAAGACACCAGGCTGGCTGAAGCACCGCGCTTAACTCTTGGTGTCGACTACATTTCCCGGAAGGAACTGCGGCGCAGCTAACTGGGCAGAGAGAGCGCGATGCCCGCTCCATTTCCTATCCTACCTCTTCCAGTTACAGTATCTACTTGGGGTTTGAGGACCACCTGAGTCTTTTCCTAGCGTGCTTTACAAAACGCTCTACACCTGCAATGC